GTATAATTTTACTTGCATTACTTTTCATAATTAATTACGACTTATGAAATAGGGGAGATATTTTTAGATTATTCGTTATCGTTTATATTCGAAAACCTGTATTTTATTGTATTGAACTGAGTTGGCTTCTACCTAATTAAAATCCATTTAACACAATTTATTTCAATTACTAATACAAATACAATATTTCAACATCTATATATGTAAACAGGTAATAATAGATTCTTAATAACCGGTGTAGGGTTGAATTTAATGGGCAATTTTATATTATAATATTTTTTATATTATCGAAAACCCATTTAGTCCACTAGGGACAGAAAATTTCATAGACAATGTTAAAGATATCTTTGGTGGTATAGATAGGTAGATGATGTTTTTGCTTATTTTACTGGAACGGAAAGACAACTGTAGTCCTTTTTAAATCATATTAACTCCTTACATAAACTTATAAAAATTTTCATAGAGACTAGATAACTCTTTAAAACTTCTGGACTTCAACTAAATTACAGAGCAAATTAGATTTTTTCATTTACCATAAACCCTCACACACGGACATAGTAATCCAAAACAACTCAAATCACCTTCACGCACACACAAAATGGTTACCTTTTATTATTTTATCCACAAACCAGTTTCCACAGAAAATTTTAAAAAAAGAATTAAATATAATACATACAGCTTTTAACAATGGTTATGATTTCTCTTTGATAGATATTATAACTCAAAATCAGAAGAATCTATCACGAAATTTTCGAAACATCTCTCTTAATTTGGTCTTAGGATTGCTTATAAAACTGAAAACTCATTAGGAAAATTTTTAAAAGACAATTAAACGAAATCAAAAAAACTCAAAAATTCAGGTCTACAAGCTGAAATGTGGATCATGTCCCAAAGTTTATATCGGACAAACAGGTAGAACATTCAAGAAACCAATATAAAAGGGCGTATAAAAATAAAAGTTCGGGTTCTAACCAAAACTATGCCATTCACTGAAATTCAGAAATGCACACGTTTAACGATAATTTTGATATTTTACATACGGAATCGAAAGACAAAACAATAAAATTGTTTTTATCTATGGAGATTAAGAAAATCAGTTATTAGAATCTATTTCTTAATGATTAAATTGAATTTAAATCCGTCTCTCTTGTTAAATTTAAATTTATAACCCTACACTGACAATTAAGAATCTGTTACTACCTGTTTGTATATACTGATGTCGGAATATTGCCACATTTTGTATTTCATAAAGGCCCAAACTTCTGTTGTAAATCAATAAGAATTGTATTTTCCGTAAAAGGCTAACTTATTTGGTAATATTTAAGGTTATGTGCCATGTTATTGGGAAATTGAAAAAAAAAGGCTAACTAGTAATATTTGCAAAAGGAATACACAACACTTTGAATTTTCGTGATTTTCGGGTATAGTTTTACCCCGGATGTCTTTTTTTACTCTATGAGTTTCGAATTTTGTAAAACCAATATTTCTTAAATGGCACACCCTGTATATTATACATTCCGTAGAGAACGCGCTTAAAGTATCTTCTATACCTATATCCATATAATTGTGTTCAGTAATAAAATATCTAGGACATCATTACAACATAACGATCTGTAAAAATGGAAAATTAAAAATAATTATAGAGTGGAGAACTGAAAGAAAAAAACAGAGGGAATTATCTCAATTGAACTTGTGCTTTACGGCACACATGGAGGCAAATTGTAAAACAGCAATCTTTAAAATATGATACCAGGTATTTTAATTTGATAAAATTCCTAATTTAAATACTTCAATTTTTCCTTGAGTTATTCATAATAAAAGAATTTTTTTTTAATTGTTAGTGTTATTATTATTATTAATATTATATTATTTTTTCTAGAAATATTTGGTGTGTTACATTATTTTTTTAAATAGAATGCGTCAAAATTAACAAAAACTGAAATATGATTTTTACCACTAAATTCAAAAACGCAATAAAATCTTCCAAGTTGAATTTTCAAATTTTCTTGATAATCATTACAAATTTTGAAAAAAGTATATGTGATATGACTTTTAGAATGCTCTATGAAATTAGAATTACCAACATTCTTTTACGGAAATGTATATGTGCATAAATGTATACATACAACTTTTGGATTTGCTGCTGAGGCTATACGTAGAGAATTTAAATCCAATATAATGGATGCTAAGAAATATTTAACAGGTCAGCCCAAAAGAAGATTTCTTATCACATATGGGAGCATTTCTGGATAAAGTTTTATAAACAAAAATTGTAAATCCTTTTAAGGACCTTTTACGAGTAATTTTAAATTTTTGACGTAACAGACAGAAAGGATATTTTGGTTAATGTAGGATCAAGCCAAACTTTACCGAGCCCCTGTCTCTTTTTTATTAGTTTCAGTTTTGAAAATGAAAATAATTACATAATACGTGTTGCAAAAGACTTACGCACCTGTACTCCAAGGACGAAAGTTTCGCAAATCAATCGGTGTTCGTTACTGTTTAGGCACCTATCTATATCGCTGTAGTATAACTAAACTTAAAGCAACTTATAATGAACTCGTAAACTATAAACATAGGCGGTGGCGTACACACAAACGAGCGGTGTTGGCAAATTGTGTTCTTTACAAACTGGTCTAACTGGATCGCAGCCGGGTGGCCAGACTTCACCTGGACCCGAAGAGGTCGCAGGTCACCGACGTACACGGGAGTGAGCAAGCCGCAAAAGCCCTAATAGTAGTCAACTGTCAACACATTGCCCGATATTAATCATTACGGACGCCTCTATGTAAATATTTACAATTTCTTCGCATTTTTTTTAGTTTCGCATGCGTATACCGTTTTAAAATAATTTTATAACATTTCCAGAGATATTCTCAGCCAACGCACTCAGATCATTTTAAAATGCAAAAGCTCAGGTAAAAAACGAACCCCTTTAAAGTTGTTTAAAAGAACCAGGTAGATAAAGCATTGTGTCTCGCTTTTTTGCTAACCCATACTTGAATGAATGAAATGAATGAAATGAAAAATCCGAACACAATTTTTAAAATCTGTGATCTGTAGTTTTTTATAACAAGCTAAGTTAATTGTAACAGATGCACTGATCTATGGAAAGCATCATCAATGTAGAAGCACTTACATTATCAATTATTAGCCATTCAAAATACATTTTACTTCTTCTAGATATTCTTATTAATAGAAAATCAGAAAACCTACGTACCCAAACCGACACCTTAATGTATTGTCACATCACCATCAGGCCCAAAAATCATCGGTTATCATCTCTCTTGTTTAGAGAGCAGCAGAACTATCGCAACCCACTGTCATAGTCGCTGAATCCAGAATTAAAACGCCTAACATCTGAGCTTCTTTCTAATAACTTCCACTTTAGAAACATTAAGCGTTTCCATACAAAATACGGTTCACCAGAACCTCCCAAAGAAAATGAGTCCGAAAGCAATCCCACACTTGCAACTGCTGTCCTTCCAAAAGTTTCTAAGAAATATGATGATAAAACCAGATTAACCATAAAGTCTTCAGCAGTTGCCGAACACCATCATGAAACCGCACAGGTTTTATTCTACCAAATAAAAATCAGAGAATCCATAGAAATTTTTACACGACCAAGCAATCCTAACCGCAACTCACCAGGACGAATGGTTATAAAGAGTAAGTGGAATAGAGTTTCATTTTCTCAGGGATTTCATACAGTTCAAACAAATTGGTTGAGTTTAAATGACAAGCATTCTAGAATCCTAGTTGTGTGAAGAGGTAAATTGAAGGTGATGTATTTTATATCCTCCTTCCATACGCCTTATTGCCCTTCTCTCAGATCCCTATTGCTCAGCACCCTCCTGAGTCCTTCTATCCAGGTTTTCTTCCGTCTCAAAAATGGCGTCTATTCCATAGCCATCTTTGGAATTCTTGTGTCAATCAATTGTGTGATTTCAATTTCATCTCCCAAAGGTTCGTGTATCCCCGTTCATTCTCCTACTTCTTCGCCTGTTCTTCTTTCTATTGATTTCAATTTCATCTCCCAAAGGTTCGTGTATCCCCGTTCATTCTCCTACTTTTTCGCTTGATTTCCTTTCTATTCGAGATATTCTTAACAACCTCCTAAACGTTTTCATTCCATTTCCACTGCATTTACACTTCTTGTGACCTAATAAGAGGTCGCTCTTAACCAAAGAGTTGTAGATATATTTCTTTCTCCATATAAACATCCAATAATTTTCCTTGACATGCTTACTCGTGTTTTGATTTCTTTGTTGTGGGGTCAGACTCAAAGAATTATATTCTTGACACTGGCATCTTCTAGTTCTATGTCCGATGGCTCCGCGCCTGTAGGTATGTATTTGGTTCTATCTGTATTTATAATTGGTCCCCATTTTTGGTACTGGTACTGAAATTTGCAAGTCATATGTCACTTAATCATCTACGAACTGAAGTGTGTAGCCTTGCATTTCCTTTTCCAAGACCATAAAACCTCTCGAAGCTACAATTTAGGCAACGGCGAGATGCAGCTTCCCTGACTTAACCCCCTTGTTACTTTAAATTCACTCCATACATTTTTCCAGATTTAAACTCTTGATATTTATTGATGGTGCAGATTTGTTACTGGATTAAAATTTTGGCACAGATATGAATGGTGCCCGTTCCAAAACATTTAAATAGGTTATCCTCTACTCAATTTGCTAGAGAGCAGAAGAAGTAAATATGGACAAAATTAAGAACCTTCTGAAGAAGCTAGCATTAATGAAAAAAACCAGCATTAATGTTCTCCAGGAAATAAATTTAGATTTATAGAACATTACAATAGTAATCTGTAGTAATCTGAGTAAGAGGTTTACTTAGTTGCGCAATGGTGTAAAAGTAAAATTTCCCATGCATGACTAAGAGACTTCATTGTAAATGTCTACCGGACTTTATCAACGCGCTTAGATAAAAAAATCTTATCTTATCGTGTCGCTGATAAATCCGTCAGTACGAGCGATAACGAAACGGTGTCAATAACGGCATAATTAAGATGATTTGAAAAATATCGTCCAAGCCAAAATGAAAACAATTGTGCAAAATATATGTATCCTTATAACTGTTGTGGTGGCATTATTAACGATCAGCGTCGTGGGCAAAACGATCGAAGTGAATTGTTCCGAATTTTGCGTCTGTGATATCTACCAACGACTGAGGAGAGCGACATGTCAAAACAAAAGACTAACCTCCATGGAGATAAATATGGCGTCGGCGGTCCAAATTTTGGACATGAGCTACAATCAAGTTAGCGATTTGAGTAACGATATTTTTTTGGTAAGAAGTCTTCCTCTGCAAAATACACAATCCCATGGAATCGTTTTTTAGGAACTTCAGCTTTCAGAACTCAAACTACTCAACTTATCCCATAACAAAATTGGTCAGATCCACCTAAACGGATTCAATGGTTTATCTGCATTGAAAACACTGGATTTGTCTTACAATGCGGTCAGATATTTTATTAGGGCCTGGTTTTTCAGTCTCAGCTCTTTGGAAGAGCTTTACTTGAGGGGAAATCCTTTGAGAACGATCAATGACCAACCGAGGATAGAAATCAAATCCCTGAGGGTAATCAACAATTGAATCCAGCTTTAGCAATTTCCTTATCGACGCTGTTAGATTTTAGACCTCAGCGACTGCAAAATTGCTCACTTGAAATCCGACATTTTCAGTTTGGTGCCGAATCTAGAAGTTTTGGACGTGTCGAATAACTATCTGACCGAATTCAAACCGGAAATAATTAAACCTCTCTATCACATATCCGTAGTGAATTTGGTTGGCAATAACTTTTTCAATTGCAAAGATATATCCAGAAAAAATTTGAAGAAATACACACGGCACAAAGGCATTGCCCTTAGGGACACTTGTACCACTCAGAAATCGCATGTAAGTCAAACTCATATGTTTGAAAAAATGATGGTTCAACCGAATAACGCTGGTGAGCTCGAAAAGAATTCTTGGATATACAACGTTGAGGAAACAATAAAAGTGATTGAAGTTTGCAGCAATTTAACCAATAATAAAACCTGGGATGGACTAGAAAATGTTATAATGGAATATGTAGAGGTATATCCATTGATAATATTGCCTGGCATTTTTGGATCTGGTATTCTTTTTGGTAAGATTTTTAAATAAATTTAATTTGGATAAGAATATATTCTCTCTGGTAGGAATTCTCTTTGGTTGTATTTGTGGGTGCTTATGCAGGCCAAAGAAGTGTCGTCCCGACATCATCGACGACGACGAACCAAATGAGTATAACAATTTACGCCGAAGCATGAGAAGTTTGAGGTCTCAAGGAGCCAACAGTTACGTCAGATCGTCCGGTTTTCGAAACAGTAGACCAAGAGATGAAATTAGGAATTTGGTTCTAAACGAACTAGATTATCCGAACTCCACTCCTGTCTATCCGCGAAAGATTTACACTGGTTAAAGTTTTAGGACTTTTCGTTTTATTAAATGCCATGTCAGTAGTTGTGAGAGAAAAGAACTGATTAGTAGGTTAGGAAACACTGGTTTTAATATATTTGAATAATTTACAGTTTCACTGTACTTGAATGATAATTCTTAACAAAATCACCTTAAACTTCCTTCGTAAATATATTGACAATTTGTAAATTATTTAAACACCAAAACCAATGTTTGTGAAATAAAAAAAATCTTAAAATCAAATTCTCATAAATTAGAAGTCCGGTGTTCTATATGTGAATATATATGAAGAATCAATTGAAGTAATGGCTCGGGAAACTTTCCTGTCTCTGACTAACGAGAGGCTCATTTTTAGATTCAATTCAGTAGAGTACAGTACAGTACAGCTCCGATTATGTTAAATGATGTGGACCCAAGTGATTTCGAATAATCGAAATTTCAGTAAATACGATTTTTTTTATTTACTTTCCTTCAATTTATTTATTCGTTTGCGACGTTACATCTGTGAAATATAGCTCTTCTTTTTGAATCAATTTTGATCAAGATTTTTGCAAGGTACTATTTGATACCAAGCTGAAGCTATCCAGTATATAACATTTTTCAAGTTAATTTAGTCATTCTATGAGAACGGCACCCTCATCTACTTTTTCCAAAAAATGGTCCACTAGCAAACGCTTGTAATTACGTCTTAAATTTTCCAACACACCCTGATCCATGGGCGGAATGAGAAAAGTTACAGCACGAGGAAAAAACATTGCTTTTATTTCAGCACTTTCAAGGTGCTCCGCGATTAGCAGAGTCTGTAACAAAACACATTAAAAGGAACTCTACTTTGGAACGGAAATTTCTTTTTTTTAATACTCATTTATTCAACCTTTTTTAATGTTTATACAATACAGGAAAAGCACTGGGATGAATATTCTTGAAGGCTCATGTTTTTGTCGAATTACTAATACGTAATAATGGAAGTTTGTGTCTCCCAGAATTATTAGCTCATGCAAAAACAGTGATAAGTTCTTTAGTACTTTTCTAACCAGGTGATTCAACTTCCGTTTTTGAAGCTAAGGAATTTGAAGGCAACATTTTGTAGTTCAAATCGGCTTCATAGCAATTGTAGATTTGGTAAATCACTTTCTTTCATAAGCTTCATTAAATTCTCTGAAACTTTTTTCTGCACCTTTGTGATAAACCGAATTTCGGAAAAACTCGATTCGGATAATGAGAACTGTACTGTATATAACTAGATAGTTAAGAGTTTTCAAAGCCACTGAAGAAATCAAAATATTTGAAATATTTTATCGAAATACAAAGCAAAATCAATTGAAAATAATGTCCTACGAATTGTTGCAAATTAACTATTATTTCGCAAAATAAACCCACATTTGGATTTTAAAAGCTCGGCCCGTGGCAGTGACAGTTGCGGTTAAACACTACAACGACTTCTGTCAGAGCGACCAACGTTTTTCAAAATGTCTATATTTTCATTGAACTGCATTTTCTATTTTATACGGTGTCTCGAGGGAAGGTGGGGCGTCAAACTACTCACTAGGCTACCATCTGGACATGACAAGTGAACTTATTCGAAAATTGGCTAAACAACTCTCTTCTTCTTCCAAATATCCCACCAGGCAGCTTAATAGTTTATGACAATGCTACCTATCGTAGTACTCTAGCTAAAAAAGAACCAACGATCAGCAGCTAAAATCTGATGTACTTTTAATTATGATTTGTCACAGAAAAGCCAATTTTAACTGGGATATGTTCTAAATCAAGATGAAAAACAAACTATTTGTCCCAGAAAGAGGATTTTTAAGGTTGATATATGCAGCTTCAATATAAATTGTGGTACAATAACTGTTCCTTAGTCAGCATGACCTTTGTTTGAGAGATACATATACGACAAAACAACAAGTGCAAGTTTCAAGAACCAAATAGTGAAAAACTTATTATGAATTAATATCAGAGAGCCGCACGTACTTCAAGTGAAATATAATTATGAAAAAACTTGAGACATTCTAACTATTCTAACTCCTATTTTTGAACAGTTAAATAAATATTAAAACAATATCAAAAAAATTGGAAAATTTAAAAAAATATACTGTACCGTATAAAAAATAATCTGTCAAGAGTAAACTATTGCTTGGAAACCATATTTAGTTTGTATTTAGAGACAAAATTGGAACTGCTACTACCAGAAAATGATCCTTTTTTTCCCAGTATTCTTTTATTATATATTCTGTATGTGTTATACAACGCATCCAATTTTCTGTGGTAACTGTGCTAAAGAGCTTCTTTAATAACAGATGCTACTGTAGTATCATAGTGCCTTGCCTAACTTACAATATTTATATTAAAAAATATTTTGCACCGAGCCCACACTAATTCTATGGCATTAAATATACATTTCAGCAATTATCTCGTCTGTAGCATACGGTAAGTTTGTTTTTCTGGGTAATATTAGCGATATTGTCATGACTGTGCAGCGAAGAAGTGTTTATTTTTTTTAGGAATATTTTTTATTTTAAGAGAAATCAGTGGCGTACCATCAATGTCTGCCAAAAGAGGCAGGTGAAATTCTACTCGCCCGCCACTGGTATATACAATGCCTCTTCATACATAGCACATTTGTGTCAAATTTCAATAAAAGTACAGGTAATCAAAAAATGTATTCGCCACCCCTTAATTATTGACATTCTATTAGAAAGCACCCTGTATATAGCGTGCCATTTAAGAAAATCAAGATTTTTGAATTTAAAATGATCCAAATATATTCGTTTATTCAAATTCCGTTGCACATATCTCTTACGTCATATTCGAGTAACGTTAATGTCAAATTTGAGTGATCTACCTTCAAAAATATTAGCGTTATCGTAATTTTTCTGGGAGCGTGAAAACTATTTTTTTTTTTTGAAAAGTTAAAGTATAGGTTTAGGTATGTGATATTAGAAGAAAACTTAAATAAATTTAAAAGAAATTCGAAACAAAATTTAAATGTAGGATGTTTCATTTTTTAAAAATATGCGTTTTATACGTCATGCTTTTTGGAGTCACGCTGTATACCATAAAATAATTTTAAATTGAGCATAATGACAATGATAAAACTTTTGAAAGCAACTCTATCGTTCACTCACTCTGTAGTTTTCGCGTTTTAATAATATTTCTTTGTTTTCTTCCGCGTTGTGGTATTACAGGTATTCAAAAAATTTATCTCTGTATCTCAAAAGTTAAGACGTTTAGGACTTATGTTCATATGAAGTTTTCTTTTTAAAATGTAACCTGTATTTAGGAGTTTATATCATATTCTTCACAATCCTCTTAAGATGTAAAGCTGGTTAGAAAGATATTAATTGAATTAACAACATCTACTCCTACTAGTAAGTGGAAGTAAGGCAAACATGTTTTAATTATCCGAAGTAGCTCGCTTAAAACCGGCTTCGAACTAAACTTATTAATTCCCGATAGTTGAGACTTACAAGCGTTAATCCGAAGCATACGATCGTAGGCACCAACTTTTTGCCGAGCTTTGCCGAGGCGTTGCGGTTTCGCTTCAAATGTGGTCAGTGGCTGAAAGGGGGGGAGGGGGGCGGAGTGGGATGTCGAACGGCGGAACGGGACGAAGCAAGGCGAACTTTGAGGGTTTAGAGCGAGTCCTTACATTTTCTCCTTGAAATCAAGGACTAATGAGAAGCCCGCCCGGCGTCGCCGTTGGTAAAGTTGCGGGTCTTTCGCCTAACTAAGTGCTGGTTGCCAGCCCGCCCGTGCTATCCCTTGCTTTCGGGCTCTCCTAGCAACAGAAATTTGAATTTAATAGAATGGACCGGCTACGATCTACCGAGGAAAGTAAAACAATGCGTAATTTAAATTCTGAGCTTCGAGCGACGCGAATTTCTTAACCTCAACTAGTTGACCGCAGGGACGAAACGTTTTACTTTATCTGACAGCAAAATAATGATTTGTTTGTTCAAGAAATTTCGAAAAATTGGACGGATAACCGCTAAATCTGTAGTCATAGAAAATATAAACACAATAAACAGAAAGCCACTGAATTCCGCACTCAAACGAAAAAGTTAACTAAATAATTCATTAAATCTTAACAATACTCATAAATAATAGTAACATATATTGGTAATGGTGGTAAAAAAGGTGTAGTATGCAACACGACGGATAATCTCGTGATTCAAATGCCGTTCAATAATATAATATTTCCGCCCTTTTCCTGCAACATGTATGTCTACGATTGCAGTTTATCGGTTAAAAGTTATAAAGTCGTAAAGGTAATCTAATAAAAAGAAAAAAAAACCTTTGCAAGAAGTTTGTAGCCGACGTTGTTTTGGACATTTAATAATTTCAATAAAAATCATCAGGAACTTTGAAATATCAAATCCGATGTAAAAATAAAAACTTCTATGCATGGCCATTACAATATCATTAATACGACAGCATGAAGAGAAATTAGTGCTTTTTTTAAGTGAAAACAGTGTGACGGACTAAGAGATCAAATCTGCCCATAAATGAATGCAAACGACATTATTTTTTTAAAGGCACAAAAACTAAAACAAAATATATAGCTTTTAGTTACCAACTAGTGTCCTTCAAAAAAAAAAATAGAAGACTTCTCATTTTACTTTTACACAATAACCATATTTGGGCCGATGAAAACACCATGGAGTTAATTTAAACATCAAGAACGGTTTTCGGTGAATGTTTAGACTGGAATTGTTGGAAATTACTTAACTGGACCTTTTTTCCTGACAGAAAGTTTAAATGGCCATAATTATCGACTGTTTTTAGAAGCGGATTAGCCAATATTGCTCTAAAAAGTACCATATTTAATTAAGAACAGAATGTAGTTAATGCATTCTCACTTTAATGTAGCAGTAAAGGAATATTTAAATTACACATTTAATAACCGATGGAGATCAGATCATTGGTGTGCTACTGACTCTGTATGAACAAATAATATTCATTTATTATTAAAATATCGATTTAAAGAAAAATATCTAGTTTTTAGTTACCAACTTTTCTTATTAACATAACATGCTAACAAGATTAATAGACGATTCTTATTTAATTTTTTTTAATCAAATTTGTCTGTTAATAAATTAATAACAAACTCTTTGAAAAAAAGTAGAACATAAAAGCTAGATAAATTGTTACAAATGCCCTCCACCTTGAACTATACAAACTTCAGCTCTTCTCCTTATTGACGACAATTAACATGCGAGAGAAACTTTCTGGGAAGTAACTGATTGAATAAAGTGAACTGGTTGAATATGAGTAAAACAGAAAATCGTGCAAAATTTTCCAAACCAAGACGTGCGAGATATTCAGGTTATTTACTTTTTTTTTCAACTCTTCATTAGTAAACTCGACCATTATTTTTTAAAAGAAATAATCATAATAAATAAAAAAAAAGAAAATTAACTGATGTCAAACAACAACAAACTAATATTTTTTTAGAAAAATTGGCATAACTAATAGGTTTAGGTATGTGTTATTATTAGTGGAAAAGTAAAATAAATTTAAACGAAATTCAAAATAAAATTAAAATGTAGGGTGTTTCATTTTTAGAAAACGTACGTTTTATTCGTCACGCTTTTTTCAGTCACACTGTATACTATAAAATTTAAATTGTGCATAATGCCAATTTTTACATTTTTCGTGTTTACCATTTTCTCGTAACTTTTGAAACCAACTCTATCGTTCACTCACCCTGTAGTTTTCACGTTTTAAAAATATTTCTTAAATTTCTTTTAAAAAATGTATTTTTTTATTCTGCCTATTTCTAGTTTAAGAAAATTTCAACCCAATCGAACGGTGTGAATTAAATTTTTATTACTTATTCCTTGTTTTTATATAATATTATAATAAGTAATTGAAACTAACTCGATTTCGCTCGAATTCACTCACACCGCACCGAAAAACTTCCGAAA